GAAAAAGAAGGATTTTTGGCTTTTTCGACCTATTCTCAATACTTCGCATTTTTCTCCATCAAAATTTCACTTTTTCGAGCTGGGAAGGTGATATTCGTGATCAGCTCGACCTGGCGATTCAGAATATATATAATAAAGCACAAAAATATTTCACTCGAAGTTTGCTTTACGTGCATCTTACATTATCCTGAACGAAATTCTCCTAACAAATATGAACTTTATTCCAGAAGAAATGTTCTTCAAATTATTCAAGTTAAGATCTTGTAAGATATTTGATGATAATAACAAACATGGAAAAAAATCTATCATAATCGAAGATATAATGAGAATTACTTAAGATTTAACAATGAAAGGTTTAATTACAAAATAATTTCATCAATATCATATAAATTTATCTAAACAAAAAAGAGCATATATAACCAAATAGATAGACTTCAAAATCAAATAAATAATAATTTCTAACATTACCGAATAGATAAAGTAGTATGCAAAAGTATATACACGATCTAAAAGTCGAATGAATGAGAAAATCAAATTAAATTCTTTTTTCTTAAACATATATGTACATATTGACAGATTTTTTTTTGTCAAATTTGAATTAAAATGTTTTTATATTTACTTGGTCTTATTGTCCTACGCAAATACATAAAAGAGTATAATCTTTCCCAGCCATATTGCATAAGATATTTACGGCAGCCAGAAATATTAATATCATTTATCCTATAACTCACACGTTTTTCAGAGAACAAACGTTGAGATGTAAAATAATATTTTTTATCCATTTTAATCTATTTTTCATTGCATGACACATTAAATATTATTCCTAAATATTTATCATACGTTGTTACAATAAGAGACCATTTATTCATTACTTCATTACTACTTATAAAAATATAAATAAAAATTATATTGAACAGAGGAGTTAACATAACATTTATCTTTGGCGATTCTAAATTATTATAATGCCGATGAATAAAAGAAAGAAATATGAAGTATCGGTAGTTACAGATATTCCTTCGAAAGATACTGTCATTACATTTCCTGTACAGACTGAAATACAACAACAACAACAACAACATAATTCGGCTGATACTATAAATGTTTCAGAATTCGACGAATCTGTTAATCAAGGTGGACTACCAAGACCTTCATGGGAGCTACCTTTGGCCTACGATATCTCAGATAATGCCGATAGTATCCGTTCAAATGGACCATCAGTAGCGAAGAAAGTTGTGAAATATAATAGTCAACAATTACAACGAAAGAGTATAATTACAGCAACAAGTACATTATCATTTCATAATCTAAATTATTTTATTCGTCCCAAAATGAGTTGTGAATCTTTATGTCGAAAAAGAGAAAGACAACAAATTCTATTCGATGTCTCAGGTGTTTTTAAGCCTGGAATGAATGCCATATTGGGTAAAATTCATCTTACTTATTCTCAAATATCTATAGTCTGTTCATTTTTTTAAGGTCCGACAGGATCAAGCAAAAGTACGTTTCTCGATATCTTAGCTGGACGAAAAGACACACATGGTTTGGAGGGCGTCGTTCGAATAAATGGCGAATTACAACCCGCTGACTTCAAATATCGATCTGGATACGTGGTCCAAGAAGACGTTATTCTAGGAACATTAACAGTGAGAGAAAATTTAGCATTTTCAGCTGCTCTTCGATTACCATCATGTATAAATGCTAAGCAACGTGCAAAACGAGTTGAACAAGTTCTAACAGAATTAGAATTAATCAAGTGTGCTGATACAAAAGTAGGCACAGAATTTATTCGTGGTGTTAGTGGTGGTGAAAAACGTCGATGTAACATTGGCATGGAACTTGTTCTTTCACCATCAATCTTATTTCTGGTATTTCTACAGTTTCAACTATTAATAGTAAAAATAAGTCTTAAGAGTACTTGTCTTAGTTTTTGATTTTAGGATGAACCAACTACTGGATTAGATAGTTCAACGGCATGTTCTGTTATGAGATCACTTCATGATTTGTCTCATCGTGGTCGTACAGTTGTCTTTTCCATTCATCAGCCAAGATATTCTATATTTAAATTATTCCATACTATAATGTTACTGTCATCCGGACGAGTTGTCTATCATGGACGATCAAGCGAGATATTACCGTACTTTGAATCAATCGGCTATAAATGTGAACAGTATGATAATCCTGCAGATTTTATTTTAGATGTAACTCAAGGAAATACTTTATCTAGTACGTCAGATCCTCATAGATCTACGCCTACAGATGAATTTGCTGATGACTCTACCATGAATAATCATTTACGTTTAACTGAAATTCTTGCTAACCATTACAGACATTCAAACATCTATTCAACTAATATGCTCATTGTAACAAAATTTCAACATTTATTAAAAAGTTCAACTAATTCATTACATCCAATTTCAGCTATACCATCGAGACCATTTTTACGTGAATTTTGGTTTATATTACAGCGTATGTTAAAAAACTCTATAAGAAATCCCCTATCAATTTTAATTCAAATAATTTCAACAATATTTATGGCATTACTCGTTGGATTTATCTATTTTCGTGTTGACAGTACAACGACAAGTGGTAAAAATAATCGTTTTGGTGCAATATTTTTCATTGCAATGTATCTCGTTTTTGGAAATCTATCAGCCATTGAATTATTTCTAAAAGAACGTATATTATTTATTCATGAACGTGTCAGTGGCTATTATCGAGTATCAACATATTTTATAGCAAAATTAGTGTGTGATTTATTACCTATGAGAGTTATACCAAGTTTTTTATTTACAGTAGTTGTTTATTTTATGGTCGGATTACAAAATCGTTTTGATAAGTTTTTTATGTTTTTATTAACAACATGTTTAACAATGTTTTGTGGCTGTGCATTATGTTTTGCCGTATCAGCTAGTACTAATAACGTTGGATTGGCAAATATTGCTGTTGGAATTTGTTATGTTATTATGACTCTATTTGGAGGATATTTTGTAGATTTGGCCACTGTTACAAAAGTTTTATCATGGTTAAAATATATCAGTATATTTCGTTATGCTCTAAATAGTTTTTCTATCAATGAATTCAAAGATTTAACATTATGCATGTCCAATAATTCAACTCAATGTTACAAAGGCGATATATATTTGACGGAAAGAAATATTGAGTCTCAAACACAATGGGACTTGTGGAGCAATTCCTTTGCACTGGGATGTATTGCATCCATTCTGTTCATCATTACATACTTACAATTACGCTTTGTTAGATAAATATTACATTTTTTCGTTAACGATAATCACCATACGGTCTATACCACTGAAACTTCTAAACCAATTCAAAGTTTAACAATCATTGACAAACATCTAGTCTCAGTTTATCAAAACTGTGATACAGTCAACTGTAAATTAATTCTAATATAATAATAAAAATAAATCTCTACAAATTTTACATACCGTTTATGCTTCTTAAGTACTTCTCATTGTACTTAACTGAATGTTTAAGTTTTTCTCATTTATTTTCCAACCTCTTGTCGATTTATACTCAAACGAAAAATCAGTTTAATCAAAGGCAATGTTTTCATCCACATTTAACTAATAGTCCACTTTGAAATGTACTAAACCAAACATCAACTTGCAACATTGTGGTTATCAAGTGCTTTTACTAGAGGCTTCCGAGCAAAAAATACAAATAGAAAATATCATTTGTCGATTCACAATCGAACCAACAATTGAGACTAATATTGACAATTTACTAACTCTTGTCTTTTATTTGCCAGAAATGCAGACGAAAATTTGTGCAAAAAATTGAAGCTTTTCTAAAAGATAACAATAATCTTGTTGTAGACACTATTACTTTCTCAATGTATTTAGTATTCTCGCAATATACAGAAATAACTTTATTTCTAATAAGAAAAGCCATATGATAGGAAGAAATTTAAGTAATTAATAATAACAGAAACACAAGGAAAAGTCTCAAAAATCCATAAATTTCTGACAGTTACAAACCGTCACTATGTGAACATAAACATAAGTGCTGATCGGCTGAGAACTCTGTCAAAAGAGAAAAAAAGAATAGCATAGGAATGCTAAACTATATTGCCCAACTTCAAGCGAACATAGAATAAACGCATGTTAGTTAGCATATTTGGACAATGAAGAACATAGACTGATGTGGTTAAAACATACACACACACAAATACACAATTCCAAAGGATGGGAACAAAAGTACAATAGAGAATACTATACAATGAGATCCTCTCAATAAGAGTTTAAACAAAAAGAATTCTCTACGGAATAATCACGACTAGTCAAAACGATTCAATAATTATATCAATTAACCTCTTAATGCGCAAAACTGCTGAAATACTTCTAATATACAAAAATCAATATCACTTGTAAATATTAAACTTTCAAATGTTGACACATATTGAAATACTTGTTCGTGATACGATAAAAATATTTCTTGTAAACGTTCAATAATCCATTTGAACCATGGTGTATTATGATCAATATTTTTATTTTCACATTCATTTAAATAATCGCTTAAACTCATGATAAAACGTTGAAATATAATTAAATATAATTTTTTCTGTTGATCACGTCCATGTTGATATCGTTCTTCGATAATATCATATTTATCATGCAATTCTGAATTTACTCCACCAAAACGTTGTTGTTGTTGTTGTTTATCAAGATCCATTTTATTTTGTTCAATTTGTTTATTATTTTCAGTTGATTCTCCATCATTATTTTCTTCATCATCCGATGAATGTCGACGTTTTAACTGTTTACTTGTATTTGATACTGTAGTCGGTTTTGGTTCGTCATTTATTTTTGCTTGATCAGTATCATCTTCATCCATTTTTTCTTCTTTTTTATCTGTTTCATCTACTATTGTTTTTTCTTCATCTCGATCATTATTACTATTTTCGGTATTGTTATTGTTTGTTATCGATGTTGAAGATGAACTTCTCACAGGTGCTGTACTTAATGTTAAATTTAATTGTCGTCTTAAATCCATCAGTTCATTAAAATATTTCTCAACTTGGCGATTCATTTTATCAATGGTCGATGATAATATTTCCCATATATAAAAATTTGTCAGATCTTGGCTGACTTCCTGGGAAAATATCCAATTGGCAACAGCTGAACATTCAATTATTTGTGTTTTAACCTAGATATACAGAATAAAACAATAATACTGTTCAATATAATTAGACCAAGTTACTGATCATTAAACTCTTACCATTTTATCAACTAGTACAACCATCATTTGTTGATGATTCAACCATACGTCAAACATTGATTTTAATACTTGAATTTGTTGTTCTTCAGTTTCAATTAAAATTTTGAATAACTGATGATATTTTGCTAGTGCAGCAAATGAATGAGTAAATGATTTTGAACCAATCCATAATAGTGATGATACAAAGAGATCAATTTGTAATGGATTATAGGCTGTATCATTGGTTGTTATTGAACTACCACCACCACTAGTTCCCATAATTGCTGATGTTGATGATAATGTCGATTGTTCATCTTTGGCATTTAGAATTTTGTTTAATTCACGTAATAATTCTTCAGGTGTTGCACGATCTTTGATCTTTTTTATTATTATTTGAGCATAATCAGAACCGCTTATTGGTGTTTCGCTATCTTCATATTTAAAGATTGGCGATGGTTTGTTTGGTACCTACAAAGAAAGTGGTTTTGAAAACGTGAAGATCTCAATTCAGAAATGTTGTAGAGGGCATGAATGAAAATTTTTTTTCTTTTCAATGTTTATTTCTTGTAGTTATATCGAAGACTTCGCATTTCCGAGTCAAATTTAGAACAACTTACTATTTTATAAAATTGTTCAGGTACAAAATCAATAACACGTTGATGAAATGATAATCTCATGCATCTCTGAAATGTCTCACGGATAAATTTAATTTTCGGTGACTCTGGATTATCATCAAGACAATCGATCCAATCTTGCCATGCCCATGTAAATTGAAAATTTGATAAATGATAAGCAAACCATTTTGCAAAACGTTCAATACAACAGGCTTTCATTGAATGTAAACGTTCAAATAACATTTCAACAGCTTGAGCTAACACTGGTGGTAATGCACCCGGTTGTAGTTTGCATAATTCTAATAGTAATGAACCATAAAATAATTCTAAATGTGGTGCACGTGGAAGCATAAATAGATGACCGAATATTACCTAAAATTCATGTAAATTTAATAAGATAAATAGGAGAGATACTTATAACAGTACATACTTCAATAATCATATAATTTAATGGTATTTTATTTTTTGTCCTTATTTGTGTTAATTGTACTGCGCAATCTTTTCGTTCAATATGATACGTATGAATAATACTGGCTATTTCTTCTTCTACAAGATATCGTTCAATTGAATGGGCACCGGGTAACACATATTGTTCTGGTACATCAGTATAATCGAACATACGAAAAACAATTTTTGGTAATGGATAGACAATATAATCTTGATGCGATGGTACAATTATACTTGGTAAATCATGAGTAATTATGGCATGTTGGTTAACTGAATTGAATAATGTATCGTTGAATGTTTGATATGGCCGATATATTTGTGATTCATTCCAATCATCTTGATTTAAACGTTTTATTTGATTCCATAAACAATCTAAATATTCTTCTTGTGGATGTGGATCAATGGATGTCCAAACTTGTAAGATTGGCACATGAATTTTTGAACGTTTATAAATATATTTATCAATCATATACAAAAGACGATTTAATTCGGCACTCTGTTTTTCACTTAGCATCTTTCCATTGTAAGGTAATGAAACCAATACACATGATACATAGAAATCTGTTCGTACTTGAGGTACATCTAAAAACAACTAAAGATTAGTTTCTTTGGCTATCTCCTTTTCCGGATCTTCGATATATATAAACCCCTCCCGTAATAGAAGCCCCCCTTGTAGGGTTCGATGTGAAAAATGTATTAGAAATCCCCCTCATTTGAAAAAAACTTTGAAATTTTCGAAAGTTTTATTAGTATTTCTAAAGTGAAAACTGTTAAATTTTCAGGATTTTAAGGTGAAAACTCGTTTAAATTTTACATACCAGCATGAGAATCTCGAAATCCCTTCAAAAAGCTCTGAAAAACTTTGGAAAAATCACAAAATTTTTGTACGTGGAATCCTTGAAAAATAGCGGGACCTATTAGAAGCCGCCCCTAAAAATGTTGAACGTTTGGGCAGGTTAGAAGCCATCAGGGCTTCTATTACGGGGGGGGGGAGTATATATATATATATATAAGCTTATTTATCAACTCAGAATCTGATCAAGATAAAAACAATAGGGTTATATGACCAACGTACTTGTTTCACATGTTGTTTGAATAAAATTTTCATACAGCTGTAATATTGACTGTGTACTTATTAATCGAACATTGACTAAATCTGATAAAAATCGAACATAGCGCTGAGCCAATTCAAATTTATTTTGCTGCAAATGTTCTTTTAATGTACTAACACACAGATCAATAAATTCTTGCCCAAATGTTATTGCTGCTGAATGTAGTAAACCAATCAATGATGTATAAATTGTTATACGTTCGGGTAATAGGGCAATACATTGATTCAATAAATTTAATATCGTTCGTTTATGTTTTGTTAAATTGTTACATAATACAATTGATAAATCTTTTAATGCTTGCTCTAACGATGGTGTCATCTTCTCACCAAGACTAAATATCAATGATTGTAAGTTATCTGAAAATAAAAACGGTTGATAATTATCTTCAAAATTATGTTGACTCTCTTAAATGTGATTTAAGTCAATTCCTCGAAAGGTATGAGTTTTTTTATATAGAAAAAAGTCTTACGAACCTTCAAAATCATCGACTTTTTGACGTTTCTGATTATCGAAGTTGTTATTATTGTTATTATTTGATTGGCGATGATGATGATGTTGGTGTCGATGATGATGATGAGATGATCGTTTTGTTGTTGTACTATCTTCTTCGTCATCCGAATATCCTCCATGGCGTCCCTTCATTTTTATTCTGTTCGATGGTTATTACTATGGAATTTAGAATCTGAAAAAAGACAAAAACAAAACAAATGTAAAAGGAGCGATAGAAAAGTTATTGTACCGAATCCAATGAAAATACCCTAAAAGTTTTGATACATTAAATCTAGGTTTTATTATCAAGCAGAAAGTGCTACTATGAATCGTTACACCAGTAAATTTTTACTTAAGCTTATTTAATCTTTTTTCCTTTTGGCGAATAAAGAAAATTATCAATGATAAATCTGGGACAAATCAGAGGACAAATCTGAGTATACTTCTTTAGTTGTAAACATTTTGATTCGCTCATTCACAGCTCAAAAATATCGTTTGTTTTGTTCTACAACAATCTTTTTACATTGTAGAAAGAGGATTCAGAAGATGAAAAAGAAGAAAAGCAGAGTAGAACTTCAAGCTTCTGTAATGAAGTCTTGAATATGAAGTAGAAAAAAAGCAAAGTAATGAACAAATAAAAAAACGACAATCTTTTATTAATTTTTATGGAAGGTTAACTTAATTTTGCAAAAACAATGATGGAAACGACAAATCAAAAGCGTTTTTCGAAAAACTTTTTCGAATTAAAGAAAACTCAATCAGAATTTGTTCTGTTTTTTTTGCAAAGGTTAGTGTTCTTTTAAAATTTACAAAAACTAAGTACAGATTGGTGTAGAACTGTATAGAACGACATAATGCACTTTCAAAAAGGCAAATATCAACATGAAATAATGAGAAAATCCTTGTATAGAACAATTTGTTAATGGTAATCAAGTAGTACTATAAAAAACGGAAAAGTAATGTAGTTCTAAAATGAGACTAGATGGCTGATTTCTCATTTTGGTATTTAATCAACGTCTGATAAATGTTGAAAGAAGTTAACAACGTCAGTTCGAATTGCTAGTATATATGTATTACTCTACAACTGCCTTATTATGTCAACTTCCAAACTAATCAGATTTGTTCAACTTATCCGCACCATAAAGTGCAGATACAAAATCGATGCAAATTATTAGAATAAAATCATCGTTTTTTCTTTGAAAAACATCTACATTTCTTTTACTAATTATATTTTTTGATCTCAACTGCATCAGTGTCTCAATTTTTCGTTGGTCGATTAAACCAGTATTATCTTTACCTCGAAGAGCACACTTCCTTAATGGACGATGATGCACTCCTTCTATTCAATTTGTCTACTATTTATAATCGCACACAACAGAAACAAAGCGTACAATATACTAGATAAATTGAATATACGCTCTATTTTTCTTTAAAAACTATAAAGCATATGTTTTATGTTGTGTATTAAAAAATTACATTTTACTTTTTGACTTTAGCGATAAAAACTATTTTTTTCGCTTCGGAAGGTCCCATTTGATGTCCGCCTGACTATTGCTTATTATCTGCAGTTACACTGCAACATTAGACAACTGATGCTACACCATTTTTGGCTTCATTTGCATTAGGTGTTTTCACATTGTGATGCATAATTTAGCAATAGAAAAAATCAAGCAACAGAAACTTATTTAATCGACCGTTTTTTTGTCTGTGGACTTCTGGAACGATAGAATTTTTTCCTTGGCTTTTCTGACTTTTCAAACTCGCTTATCTATTGTTGTTAGATAAAATATAAAAGAGTACGAGAAATGTTTTAATGAAGTCAGTAAATATATTGGATAATTTAATGTTGAAAAATACTAGTTATAGCCAGAACATAACCATCACCTTAATGTCGAACTAAAGAACAACGGTGCAAAGCTGAACATCGCTTAAAATTCTCAGTTTTAGTGAGATCAAAACTACTACAACAACAACTTTAATGAACTTTTATAATCGAATAATCTAAGAAAAACAAATAATCCAAGGTCGTCATCAACATTAACTATTATGGCCCGCTTTACGAATGAGATATTCAATATAAATATCTAAACAATATTGTGCTTCATTCTGAGAACTGCGCTAATTGATTCGATAGCTTAGTTTTCTACTTACTGCATTGATATGTATAAAAACGGTAGATCTACGAAAACAGTTGAAATTTGAAAGTTTTTGATGGGTGTTGAAAATCAGTAATCATAAAATTATTTATAATAAAGGAATTTTTGCTTTTGTTTTATTGTGATTCAAGAATTGTGTAAGATAAGTTCATCTGTAGCCAGCTATAGTATTACTTATTTTCTTAATTCATGTGCTTTTATGAGAGTTTTTTTTTGTTGCCCCAAGACATATTCGTCTATGTTATTAGAAAAATTAGTGACCAAAGTTTTATTTTCATTTCCCAGGAAAGACTTTGTATCTTTAGTGTACTTTGCATCTAAAGGCAAAGCGTAGATGTACATTCTGCTCCGGATTTACATTTAAACCGTTTCTTCCATTCTATATAGTTCACCTTAACAGATTTAAATCGTTTTCTCCATTGTTTATTGTTTCAGACAATCAAACTACGTTGTGTAGCAGGACTGCATTATTGATAGCAAATACCTATTTTTAGAGCATTTCTGTGTTCACTTTGCAACTTGTTTGTTTATTAATTCTGTAGGCATGATGTGTCTGCTAATAATGATGTGTTGATTGTCTGTTTCAAAGCGAATCTTTCATTATTCTACCGAAAAGGTTGACGAAAATATTATAGAGCTGAGATGAATTAAATTAGTTTCGAGCTTTGTTTTTCTGATTATGAATTTCGTTTTAATCTTTTCCTTAATTAATTATCTCGTTTGCATTAAAAACAATTAGTTAATCATTGCTGTTCTTGGAAATTTTACGAAGTATGACTGTTATGAAGAAGTTACTATATTAACAGCTGGTAATACTTCATGATATTAGTCACTGGTTTTTGAATGGCACAATGTTGTATATTTTTAAAGGCATTCAGTTTTTTCTCTACTAAAGTGAGAATTTTATTTAATTTTAGATGTAATTTTAGAGAAAAAGAAGTCTGAATATGACGGAACTGATAGATAGTATAAATTCTACATGTACACAGCAAAGATCATCCACAAATAAACAAAATATATCGAGTGATGTTGACGAACTAAACGATGATGATGGCAATGACAATGAAATTGATAATAACATTGATCGACAATCTCACCGTACATTATCAGGCAATAGTAAAAATTCTGTTAAATTAAAAAGGCTTTCATCAAGTTCATCTTATTCTACAACTTCACCTCGTACTCAAAAAAGTATTTCGCCTACGTATGAATTATCAGGCGATCATCATGAAGATTTGCAACAAACACTCAGATCAGCAAGTACCACTTTCAATTACAATAATAATAATAATAATAATAATAATAATAATAACAACAACAATGATGTTTCTTTTACAAAGCCGATAAAACCAGTACAACAAACCCGTACACTTGCTCAGATTCGTGAACAACTTGCTTTAAAACGAAAAGGTATTTGCACAGATAGTTTGAAATTCAGGTTTTTACACACTTTTATTTTATTTCAAAATCTACTAAATATTTTTACTTTTAGCTGGTGGTATTCAGCAGCAGCAAAATGCGACAGCTTCATCCCCGGGTTCGTATTTTTTATCGATTAATTCTAGTTGTTTTTATGAGAAATAAGTTTTGTTTAGAATCCACAGTTCTTGCTCAAGTGAAGAGAGAGTGTGTTGAAAACGTTGATAGTAATCAAATACGTCATTTATTTGAAGAAAGACAAGTAAAGTTAGAATCAACGATTATCAATAATAGCAATAACCAACAACAGGAGCGAGTGTCAATATTAGAGTATGTTTTGAATAGTGTGTATTTGAATAAACTGAGTATTAGTTGTTTTTTAGATCAGGTAAAGTCATTATGACTTCGATCAAAAATGATATAAATTTATCTATAAAACAAGAAGAATCAAACTTATTCTCATCTTCATTTGGTCAGCCAGTACCTGCGCATCCTTCAACGAATCATGAGTCGACAATCGTACGTAAATAATTTTTTCTTTAATGAACGAACATTCTCATTACCCTGTCTATTAACAAGAAATACAATAAAAAATGATCTCTAATTTAAATATTTCCTAAAAGCGGGTGTGGTAAAAATACGAGAAAATAAAAAAGTGTTCCACTTAATATAAGTGGAATATTTCTATTCCAAGATAGTTTACCCTAAATATGGAATAGATAAAATAAGTAAGTGACATTAGATCCAGAATGATAAGGTTGTATATGTATTTTACTTTTTTAGATAGGCAATAATCTTTTGTATACGAAAATTAGTGTCAGTAGGATAGTTTTTCCATCTAGTTTTCTTTCACGTCTTTCTTGACCTCATTTACGAAATACGTCTGCTAATATAGTTACTAAAAAGATGAAAAAAAACTTTATATAGTTTTGAATTTAATTCTATGAAAAAATGTACGGTTGGTAATGAGATCTAGTGAACATAAGCATAAGAATTTTTATTCTGCTTAAACAGCCTAAAATTTAGTTTAAAAAAAAATGAAAACATAATTAGGAATTGATAAATAGTCACTTTATATGCAAAAGTAGTTTAACTTACTTGTTGCTAAGTACACCTTCGTTTCAAAAGTATCAATTTATTCTAAACGTAAAATGAGACAAAAGAAGCTTGTGAAAGAAAATCATCAACGTAGAGAAGAATGAGTAGTATATTTATGAACTTACCTTTAACACGAATTATAAAGTATATGTTTGATAAATAGGTTCGACTATTATCATTATTGTAGCTAACCTATTCAATTTATTCGAAAGTAAAACAAAATCAAAATATCCATTTAATCGGGTGTCCGTTTCATCTTGTAGTCTAAGCGATAAGCTCACACATACTCGTGCAGGTTTGAGTTTTTTTTTCTTTAGTATTTTTTTTTGTTGTTGTTGTTTTCGCACCCTTTATTACACGAAAATTTTTGCTGCATTTTTTTTTTTCATGAAGAACTTGATCAGTTCGACGTTTGTTATACTACTGCTGATTTTCTTCCTCTTCTCTCTGTTCTTTTTTTCCATTGAAAGGCAACTGAAGTCAAATGATGATAATAATAATTGTGCAAAAAGAAGAAAAAAAAAAGATCAGTCATTGACAAACTACAAAATTCAGTTTGATTTTTCTTCTTTAAAAGAAAAGAAGAATGCCGATTCTAATATTACATTTTTGTTATATTTAAAATACACCGCTCGTAATGTGTAGAGAGAGAGAGAGAGTGTAAAAATCATATGGGTTTCTTTCTTCTTTATTCATAAGTTAAGTTCTTTTTTCAAAAAAAGAACAAAATTACACTCAAATAGGTCCTTTTTTTCTCCTCTTCTTCACTTTTCGTTGTCTCAGATATGATCGAACGCTTGTAGAAAAAGAGCATAAAAATAGCGTAATGTCTCTTCTTTTCGCTTGTTCAAATAACAGAACTCAGGATTAGAAAACATACATTTTTCTTCTTTCTCTTCTCTTTTACTCTCATTCTCATGTGTGTAGATTTTTAGTTGTTAAAAGAAAGTGAACATGAAATTAATAATGAATGACTATATATATTTGTGTATGTGTGTCTATATGTATTTACCAAATCAAGTCCAAAGATGTTAAACTGTGTTTAATCGTTGAAAAAAAATAAAAAAGACTTCGACAGATAGGACTACACACACATATATATATATATATAATATATACAAATATATTAGATACACACGATACGTAGATGCTTGTCTGACATTGAGAATAGGGAGTAAGGGAGAGGTGGAGAATATGAGACCTAGAAGAGAGAATGAGAAAATTGTAAAAAAAAGAGCAAGCGACGTTGAACCCTTTGGTCGTAGTCGATAAAAAAAAATAGAAATAAAATAACTGCAATAAAAGAAGGAAACAAATTGGTGATCAATACAACATTCATTGATAAAATAAGGAAGAAAGAGACTAACCACTACTAATGGATATTTTATTATAAACATCGATTACAGAAAAAATCAAATGAAAAACCATATGAACTACAGAAATAATTTGTTTATTAAAATAGAGAAAAGTGAGTGTTAGAGATTATACATAATTAATAAATTAAGAAAATCGATTATATTAAATAGTAGTGATCATGATGATGATAAGTAGCGGAAAAATTGAGATGAAATATTGAAAGACAATATACACTTGACACTTTTATAATCCGATCGTTTTTTGTTGTGAAAAATGACTTAAAAACTTGAATTTAGACTTACGTTTTTATTGATAAACAAGATCAGGTCATTTTTTATTTAACCTCTAATATTATTAGTTAGCAACGGGGAAGAAAATAAGATAAACAACATCAACACTGCTGTGCAACTGGATCAGGTTCATAGTACACAGTTCAAAAAGTAACCTATAATAAAAATTTATCTTTTACGAAAAGAAGTAAAAACTAAAATAAATGTATGGCATACTGGTTTTCAGTAAAACCAGAGAAGAGCATGTCCGGACTGGGACTGAGTCCAGGCCGGTAAGCTTTTTCATACGGACTGAGACTGAAGGTACAAGGGACTTGGACTAATTTTTTTTCATAGTCGTGGCTGAACTTTTCACTTCAAATCTGTTCACCCTTTTACCTCTTTGATGTCACCGCGTGGTCGGTTAAGATGAGCTGTGATCAAAAGACGACTGTCTCTTTTTTTTTCCTGATTGATTCATTTCTTTGCACTTGTCTACCTAAAACAACAAAAAACTTCTATAGGAAATTTTGCGTTATTTGAAAGAAGAAGATATAGATAGTAGTTTAATTTTCAATAAATCTTCTCTGTGCTCGATGTTAAGCACCTAGCAACAGAGATACTATGTGCGCTCAACACTTCGGCTCCGGTTGAGAGAGTGTTCTCTCAGTCCGGTTTTCTTATACGACCAAATCAGTCGGAAATGGCGAGAAAAACCCTCTCACGTCTTACTTTACTCAAATTTAATTTTTCTCTTATGAATTAGGCCTTTCTTTTCATTTTCATATCACAAAAGGAACAAAAAGTTCTGCCTTGTTCTTGTTTTTTAACATTCACAAAAAATCTTGTTGTTTTCGTTTTTTGCTACTATAGTCATGTAAAAAACAATATCTTCCTGATGAAAAAAAATAGAAGAAAAAGAATGAAAATGGAAAACAATGCTTGCTGTAGGACTTAAAGTTTAGCGGACTGGTTTGACGAGGCGACCTTGCGAACTGTCACATCGCTTTTTCAGCCAAACCTAGTGGGTTATAGGTTATCACCTATGGTGGACCCGAATGCCATAGTGCTAGTTGCTAAGGGATCTTCAGAGAGCGGTTTTCTAGAAAACCAGTTTTTCAGAAACTCTAAAAAGTAAGCAAAACCTTTTTTAATGAGCAATGCTTGTAGCCTGTAAGTTTATGATTAAAATGAGACATCTTCGAGCTCTACACGACCTTTCTTTGTAAAGTTATAGAATTTACAAGAAAAGCCCTAAATTAATTTCTTATTTCTGTAGCTTTGAGCTGATAATGAACATTTAGGGCTTTTCTTGTAAATTCTATAACTTTGCAAAGAAAGGTCGTGTAGAGCTGGGAGATATCTCATTTTAATCATAAACTTACGGGCTACAATCATGGCGCATTAAGAAAGGTTTTATTTACTTTTTAGAGTTTCTGAAAAACTGGTTTTCCAGAAAACCGCTTCCTTAAGGCCCCTGGGCAACTACCACTATACTATTCGGGTTCAGCATAGTTGATAACCTATAACCCACTAAATTTGGCTGAAAAGCGATGTGACAGTTGGCGAGGTCCTCTCGTACGACTAAAAAATTTTAGCTGATGAGCGGACTAGAACTGATTCGCATTTAGCTTCTACTGGGCTTGAATTTGACTCGGATTGAAAAACACCGAACATGCTCATCTCTGTTGCAGCAAAACAATATTGATATCAACAGATATCAAGTTACTTTTGAGAAGTAATTGTAGTGAACATTGTTAGTCTGTGGGGAAGATACATTCAAAAAGTAATGCTTTACTATTTCTCTTGGATTACTATTGCAAGTATATAATGGATCAACGATTAGGTGTTTCTCAAACAGATCGTGATTTAGTTGTGAAAGCCCTAATCTGCAATGTGCATAGGCTGACTATATCAGTGTCACGATTAATGACAATTGAATACAAAGATTTATTTTTTGACAATATATTTTCTCTGGGCTTTTTATTGGTATAATCAGTTTTGTCTCGAGTGGTAAATCGTTGTATTCTCGAGTTGTAAAATATATTAAGAACTATAAAAAGCATTAGGCTTGACAAACGCTGTCGAAACAATTCTTCTATCATGATTTGTCAGAGAATATTAACCGATATTATCCAATTTTGATAGAAGTTCTCTCATATAGTTAGGTATTTTACTAGGTTATTTTTTTCTCTTATTATGAATCGTTGATCTAACAAAACACAAGACTATTATTCAATCTCTACTATGAGACTTGAAATACATAACTGCTGAATTAATACTAGCACTTGGTCAGAATGTTTGTCTATGATGAGCGACTCTAATGCAGAGTTGCAGAATATATCTGTTTACTGCGAATTTTAGAAAAACTTATTTTATTTGAGAAAATTTTCAGAAAAACTTTAAAAATTTAGCAGTTTTTGCTGAAAAATAATTGCAGAAGAGAATATTCTGATATTACTAGAGAATGTTGTAGAAATTTTCTTACGGGTAGATTCTGCGCCTCCTTATGGGTCAGTTATTTGTTTGCTCTATCCATCTGTATCGAACAAAAAACGAAAGGATAAAAAGAAAAGGTCGTTTTAACCCATTGTAGCAGAGAGACACGAATAGTTCTATAACTCGCTGGTGATCAGTTATCATGTGCCCCGTTATAGTGTTCTAGATTGCTCGTATTTGTATCACAATTGAGTTGAAACTTTTTCTCTTCCAACGACTAGATAGAGCAAACATTTCTCTATAAAATGAGACGTTCCGCAGTTTGAAATGATTCTTACTAAAATAAAATTAAATACTCTAATGTTAGTGACATGTCTATCTGCACCTCTTTTAGATAGACTGGATGTTTTACCAGGATATATTGATTAACTACTCCTGGTTTTTGATATAATCACTGAAAAATTTGTTCCATTTAAAATACCAGCACTCTGTAATTCTACCTATTTTTACAATTGTTTTCCCTTTTTTTGTTTATGTGTAGATCAATTGTTCGACAACATTATCATCAATATCGCATAATAAACAAACATCAGATGAATTAACTGATTTTGTATTTAATGATGATGTTCTACATGATTTAGATAATTATCAGTGTTATACAAATCCAATTGAATTTGATCAATTTACTGTTTCAATGTTAGAAGATCAATTTGATGTTAATGGTACAGATGAGCAATTAACAAGAACAGTATCAAATTCAGATTCGTCATTATTGACAACGAGAAAAACATTGATAAATAGTGAACAACAATTATCACAGCAACGAAAATCAAGTACAGAGTGTATAGATTTCGATAGTATATTGCAAGAATTAAAATCTGTTAGTGAATCACATCAATCTGATCAAGAACAATCAACACTAGAAAATTCAAACATCATGACTATTAAACAGGAACCGACTAGTCAAAGTACAGTCAACATGAAACATCTAGGTAATCAAATTGATCATATTTTAGTAATACTTATTTACACATATGTTTTAATTTGTAGAATCTATATCAACATCGACGGGTGTCACTGCACAAGCTCCATTAGAAGATGATTTCTTTTCATTTTTATCTTCGACTAATATGAATAATTCAAATATGGACTCTTCAACTACATTATTGCCAAGCATAAATACAATGATGACATCCTCATCTACTGTTCATAATCAATATTCATCTTCAACCACTCCATCAGGAACAATATCACCGCCTAAACGAAAAGCTCGTTCAAAAAAAAAAGCACAATCGCCAAATTCTGTCGATACAACTAAAATAAAAAATACGCAAAAAAAAGAGCGTCGACCTACAACTACAAAAAAATCGAAAAAAAATGTTCAACAATCAACTGATCAAAATAATTATATTATTAATATAGATCAATTATTAGGAGAACAACAAACACTACCTATTCCTTCTTCCACCGATGAACATTTACGTCAATTAATTAAACCTGAACAGTCAAATACATATTGGACAACGTTGGTTGATGAACACAACAGAATGAATACACAACAACAACTGATGAATAAATCTGAACCAATGCAAATTGTTGTATTACCAGATAATTTGAAACAAACAACTATGAATACTCAATTATCACCAACTAAACAACCATTTTTAAATTATACTCAACAACAAATAATAAATGCAATTAAAAATAATGAACATCATAATGCAACAACACCAACAAATCCACAGACACTTTCTAGTAACAACATTAACAATGCAAATAATCGTGTAATGAATCATTTACAAACAACAAAAAATGCACAAGCACTAGCACTGAAAGCTGTTGCACGAAATCAATTTGCTAAAATTAATTATCAAGTGCAACAACAACAACAACAACAACAACAGCAGCAGCAACAACAACAACAGCAGCAGCAGCAGCAACAACAACAACAGTTACAGAACACAATGGAAACAGGTGAGCACTTAGTAATTTATATCAATTAATTTTTTAATATGGACAGAAGCTACTGAAATTACATTAATCTTTCTCGATTTGAGAGTCTCATCATAACAGTCAGTTTAAACTGCACAATAGATTAATATTTGCTATTTTCTCAAAATATTTTTTAAACAACTATTTTCTATGAATTTATTTTAGGTTTACAAGATAATAATTTGTCTCGCGTATTTTCACCATCTCATTTACTATCAAATACAATTAAATCTGACACAACGATAAATGTTGATCAACAATCGCAATCGGTAATAAATCAGCAATTTGATTTTCAATCACGTGTAAATAGTCATGTTACTAATCAATCATCATCTCAACAACAAAAATCACCTTCTACCACTCTCTCATTGACACCTCAACAACAACAAGAATTATTACAACGTATAATTCGTCGAGATTTAATTCAACAAAATGGTTCAGTAGATATGAATCTTGTACAAAAATTATTAAATCTAAATTCAACTACAGTATCTACATCAAATTCAACTGGTGTTATGAACCAAAATTCATCCATAACTTTACCTAAAACCATTTTAAACGATTCTTCTTCTTCATCCGTTTTAGCACGTGTTCAAACACCATATAATAGTACAAATATATTTAATCATAATCAACCACAAAGACTTTTAACTTCACCATCATGTTCATCATCTTCTCAATTAAGTAATAATATATTGAATATTACAAATGATATTTCGAAAAAACTTTCACCAACTATTAATGATAGTATAACATCGGCACCAAATAAAATTCAATATAAATGTACTTGTGAGTGTAAAGCAATGATTGTATGTAAACGATGTGGTGCTTATTGTCATGACGAATGCATTGGCCAAACAAAACTATGTGCAAATTGTTTAGTCATGACACCATCTTGATGAGATGATTTCATTATCATAAATTTCTTCTTTTTCTCTATAAAAATTTATATTCAGTTCTGTCTCCCCAATATAATTCAATTTAATACTAACTTCTATAGAATTGTTCCTTAATATTTTTTTCATTAACTGCGAATTATATCACTCTTTCTGCTGAGTTTTACGTTATGTCAGATTTTTTATTCTCATTTTGCGCATGTTTTAATTTTTCGTTTTGGTTTAAACAAATCCTTTTTCTGTAGACGAATAATAATATTCAAATCTTTAAAAATTTTTTTGTTATGCTTCATATTAAAGATGTATTTTTTTGTATATTTTGTATCGTCAACTCTGACCTCTTTTTTTTTTTTGCAAATTCATCAACGTTTTTGTGAATATTTTTGTTTTGTAAAAAATGTTTTTTTTCAAAAGTTCATGTCAGCTCAATGCAAAAGAAAGATACATTAATTTATTGTAATAAATAGTAAGCTGGCATAAATAACTCATAGCATAAAGGGTCGGTGTCCATATTGAATTCAAGTTAGTAGAGTTATGTCTTTATTTGTTTAAAATTGAACCTTTTACATTGGAGAAGAGGAATGGGTAATTATATAAATACGTGATTTTATTCGTCGGCTGCAATAGCTAAAACAATTCTAACTAGTGATTTGTGTAGCTGAACGAAAATCCAGTCAGATAAAATGTGTTTAAAAATTCCATTGGTATTTTTGAAATAATTGATTATTTGTTATTTTAGTATTACTACTCTTTAAACATAGTGAATATCAATATTATCCATCCAATTAGATGAAATGTGTTTGAAAATTCCATTGGTATTTTTGAAAAATGATCTTGAAATTCAGACTCTCTATTTTCAGATNAGCCGAATGAGTTTTGAGAATAGTGTAGTCAGATAGAACAAATAATTCTGTACAAAATAAGACGTCTTCAACTTCTCTATGATATTTTTTCATCAAACTGCATGAAATATACGGAAGGCCTTGCATGCGCATTTTTTATGCGGATTTCGACAGTTTGAAGCCTTTCCTAGGTTTTAGGCAGTTTGATGAAAAAAATATCATAGAGAAGTTGAAGACGTCTTATTTTGTACAGAATTATTTGTTCTATCTGACTACACTATTCTCAAAACTCATTCGGCTAACATTCGAGGATCTGAAAATAGAGAGTCTGAATTTCAAGATCATTTTTCAAAAATACCAATGGAATTTTCAAACACATTTCATCTAATTGGATGGATAATATTGATATTCACTATGTTTAAAGAGTAGTAGTACTAAAATAACGAATAATCAATTATTTTGGTAATTGATCAATAAAACAGGGTATATCATACCGGCTATCGTTTTATTTAGGATTTATTTTCAGCTTTCGATGATATTTACAACTTCACGAAATCTTGTTTGAATCTTCCAGTCTATCAATGTTTTTTCTTTATTAGTATTACAATACGTGCAAAATAGAAATAGTGATACGAAATCAAACAGCGCCCAAGTAGTATTAATAAAAAAAGTGTTTTTTTTTTTGATTTTCTCAATCAGATAGTAACAATGATAATAAATAGAATAAATTATTTTGAAATGTTTTCATTAAATTGTTTTCTTATTTTTCAATATCGACAAATTCATCGTGCATTGAATGTACATCATCAACATCATCATCATTCGATGGTATATCACTACTTAGAAATGAATTTGTGTCTGACATACATGAACTATCTTCTAGAGTATCTCTTGTTTGTTGTTCAGCAGCAGCTTCATTTTCAAGCCGTTTAATTTCGGCATAGGATGGAATTGAATTTTTTTTTGGACGTCCTTTCGGTTTTGTTGGTGCTTGTTTACATTGTTGAAGAGCCTTATAAAATATGAATTATAATGAAAATTTTTATGGTAGATTGATAGTAATAGTATATACCTGTTTTTTCCATTTCATACGACGATTTTGGTACCAAGTTTTTACTTGTAATTGTGATAAACTTAATGTATCGGCTAACTCGATTCGATCGGGTGTCGATAAATATTTTTGTGTTTCAAATCGTTTTTCTAAACCGATTAATTGAGCATCTAAAAATTTAAAAAAAAACGTTTATTAACTCAATGAAAATGATTTTTTCAAATGAATAAACTAAAACTGACCAGAAAAAACTGTTCGCGTTCTTCTACACCGTCGATGATGAATAAATGTTTCTAAATCACGATACGGTGAATTAACTTGCATTGGTGATAAATGACAATTATTTAAATTTGATCCATTACAAGATGTTGACCGTATACCTAAAAATGAATGAGTTTGACTTTATGTTTAAATTTGTCTTTAACTATATTTTATTATAACTATGAGAACAATTGGAAGTATTATTTCGAATATATGACGTGTCAGAGAACATTCCCACTAATAAAATGAACTTTTTAAGGGTTATACATAATACTATTATTCTAAGTTGAACATAGTCTAATGGAGAGGAAAATGTGAGCTAGAAAATAAGATCATTTCCAACATTAAATGACCTTTATTTTGCAGAAGCTCTGAATTTTTTAAGTTTTTACTCTAAAGATCGAAAAATCTCAGCTGTTTTAGTTTTGTTAATTTTTCTTACATTTTCCGTGCCTTCAGATTTTTTCTTCTACATAGCCTGATAGGGCAAAGTTTTCTCTTCACAATGAGATCACTTTCGAAGTTTTCTATAGGTTTTTCGCGAAAGTATGGGCATCACCGCAAATGCTTTGAAGAAAGTGATCTATTTAATGCTTATAACACTTGTGATTTAAAATCAGTCAGGTTATGATCCTTCGAAAAAATGGTTCGATTGAACTGAAATTTTTATTACAAATATTTCAGGTTCTATCTTAGATTCTTCATTTTTTTTAAAGTGTACTAAATACCAACTTTTGTTTTGAGAAGAATTTTAAAATCACAAACCGATTTTTTAGAAAAGATTTTCAGCATTTTCTGAATATTTCGAGAAGAAAAGCATATTTTTCTGGTAAAAACTTGAACTTAAGGTAAAGACAACAGAATCTATGTCACATGTGACAGGATGCGTATCTTCTTTTCTGAATAAATTGTTTCTTTTTCAACGGCAGAAGTATTTGCGTAGTACCATGGCACAAAGAAGAAATGTGTTGAAATTTCACTCTTCTATCGATGTCTCGTCACTTTTTCCTGGTCTGACAATCAAATACGATCTTCAAAAAGTTATGTCTTTGCGTTTTCACTGTGATATTTTTTAGAAACTAAAGACTCAATAAACTTTTGACTATAACAAGAATCCTAGAATACAAACCTGTACAAGCTTTATTAAAATTTAATAATGGATAATTCAGTTCATTATATAAATAGGTTGTATGATTCGTTGGAACAAACCAATTTGTAAACGGTTTTCCATTGGCTGTTGTTGGTAGATTATGTTGTAAAGATTTTGATGATGATGTTGCTGACGATTTTCTATATAAAGCAATTGAATATTCGAGTGCCGCTTTTTCATTTACTTTCAATGGATATGGTCTTGTACAACAAGATTTTTGTTCATTGGTCAAATGAGTATCTGTACATAATGAATGATTTTTTAAATTTAATTCAATTTTTGATGTTGTCGATGATTTTAAAATATCATCTATTGAAAATGAATGATTTTTAATATTTTCCATTACTGTCATTATTTTTATAAACTTGCTGCTTCTACTACTACTACTACTACTGATAATCAATAAGAATAAGAATAAGAAATAATCATCAAACATATAAGTGAAAATGTGTAAACCAATAGGAAAATATACTCTATATCCAACAGAAATAACTACCGTTTTTGTAGAAAATATCATATATATCACGCTGATAATTTCATTCTATGTTAGGAGAAGTCATTAACGAACGAAAAAAAAAAATGATTGGACATAATAATGAGGATGATATACATGGCAATAGATCATCATTGTTATTCTTGTGTGTCAAATGAAAACAACAGACAAAAAAAAAAAATGCCAACAACAGTCACAAATGATTACCATACAAACACCTTTTTTGATTAAAAGAAAGCCCAACGACGTGTGTCAATGTTAGTTTTACGATTATTATCTATTTCGAGATAGAGTTAGTAATTGCAAAAAATAGACTATTTTTAAAATTCAGATAATATCAAATAATATCGTATAGGAGAAGAAGAAGAACCACCGTATCTAAATCTATTGAATAATATTGATAGGATTTTGAAATGATTGTCTTCTATTTATGTGTTTGAAGATGTTGAACACTATGATCGTTCATGTTAAAGATGAACACTCACAGTATTGTTCATACTTGAACTGAGCATTGTTCATGATGATTGAGCTAAGTCTCGATTGAATTTCATCTGCAACTAGACCTCAAAAATAGGTTTGAAGCTTCCATCCTATGGTATCTTTGAGGCAAACTATCTCAAACAAAATTTTGACAGGGTACATTTATAAATATTAAGAAATTGTAAAAGGAAAAGTTCTTATGATGTTAGAAGTAGAATTTCTCCGATATCCAATATTTTTGCCGAGTAATTTGAATATGTTACGTTTTTTGGCATCTACCGGTATAAAAAACTTCCATCTAATGTTCTGAAAAATATACAGCATGTTGATACTAAAATGAGTTTGACTTTTATATGAAAAACGAGAATATTTTCAGCGGGTACAAAATGTCAAGGAGGGTCATTTGTCTTAAGTTCTACGAGAGATAGAAGCCCCAAAAATAGACTCTGAAAGAACCGACAATAGAGGCTTTTTAGTCTTAAAATTGATTTGGAGAAATTTTCGTGGCCATATTATATCGAAAAAAAACTGAAGAATTGCTGCTATTCAGATTAAGATAAAGACGTATCGGTGTTCGTGTTAGCTTCTTTTATCAATAAATAAGTACTATTATTGATATGAGAATCAAAGAAGTTATCTAAAGCAAAGGTTATCATAATATTAGCACATTTTTTAATAACAAATTTATTGTCTCTCTCTTTCTCTTTCTATATAGAAAAAATTGTTGTTAGAAAAATTGTTCTTAGTTAGATACGAGACAATGATAAAAAGTCTAATTATTCTACTGACAAAATTTATTATCATTGAATAAAACAAATATTCGGTTAGTCTTGTTATTTGTTCATGTTATTTATTACTATTATTATTATTATTATTATTATTATTATTATTTATGTAAATAATACATAGTTAAGAAAACCAATGCAATAGTCTCGTTGTACTTTAGACAATCGATCGTAATATGAAGTTGATGCATTCGAATTAGCTGTACTCAACAAAACGACTGTATATTTAGATTTCGTTGTTTTTAGAAAAATTATTATAAACATTCATTCTCTCTCTCTCTCTCTCTCTGTCGCATCGGATATACTTTATTATTTCAAAAAAATCTACTCTATTTCGCACCTCATCGATTGTATTTTAAATATGTTTTTTTATCATTCTTCATCGAGTATTTATCCCAAGAGATGATCGTTTACCGTAAGATATGTTACTAGTTTTTTCATACCCTATTAACATGTGCATTGAGATCATACCATCAGACACTTATCAATTATTCTTTGTGCAATATCATATGGCTAATTCCGCCTTCATATTGTTCATTTATAATTGATTTAATTGCTCATCGTGATCGTGCGCGGGGGACCATAACGTTTGTTCAAAATAAACATCAACAGCTGTGTGTATTCTAGATGCATCCCAACTACTACATGTTTAAAATGTTCCTATATCATGCTGTAAAATTTCATCATAAACTAGATCGTTTCACTCTGACAACTAATAATTAGTTTTATACATACTGTGAGTAAGAACAGAGAGATAGAGAAAGAGAGAGAAAAAATGATTGGCAGTAGGATGACTACTAAAACATGATTGGATATAAAATAAAAAAATAATCAAGTCACTCTACATATCTGATAACTGAAAATTATATACTTATTAATTTTTTCATGCTATGTTTATGTTTTCTTCTTTTATAGAACAAATGTGACGTATAACTTCATCTAGAAAAACACGATTATGTAAGATACATTTTTATTTTTATTTAAATTAATCGTATGGTGCGATTCTCAGGAGATCGACGTCTTTTTAAACAAACAATTAAAAGACTATTTTACCTTTTGCCTGTTTTCAGATAAAATAGAACTTGTGTTCAACGATTTTTTTTTTATTTGACTGAATCATTATTATAGAAAAATAAAATTTCAGAATTTCTCTATAAAAATAAATTAAATGGTAAATTTTTTTGTTTAGCTTTTTCTCATACCATCGATAAAAATCGACTAAGAGATCATATTAAAATATGAACACTTTAATCGAAGATTGTCTCGAATATGAAAGAAAGACCGAATTTACGTAACATACCATATTGAAGTTCATCGTCAGTTCTACAATAATTCATTAGATATTGGCTTGATAATTATGCGTCTGAAAAACAAGTGAACATAAAACGTACTTTTTAGGAAATTTTAAAAATTTTTAATCCTTTTCTGTAATCGTTTTTTGATCTTCAGAATCTGCTGTTTACATTTTATAAAACAAACGACATATTTGTATATTCTATTCTTCAAAGAAAAACAAACGACGTATCAATCGATTATTCATAAAAATAAAAAAAATTTACCTCAAAATGATCTCTGGTAAGCGAATGTTCAATATCTGAGTAAAAAATACTTCAAAAGGAGTTTCGCGAATCTGCACAACATATTGAAGGCTACCCATGTCGAACAAAAACAAAAAATACTGATGCAATCAATATTTTATGGGCCCAAGTACAATTTTATCAAAAATTCTTCGATAGACCTCATGCGAGTACGCTGGAACGGTTAGTTCTCAACATGATAATAGGTTTCAAATTATTTTTTACTAATTACTAACTCAAATCTATAAGAAAAATGCTGTATATTTACGTAATGAATAGAATTATGTTGCATCTCGATACAAACGAACCATTGAACACTCTACTCTATCATCAGCCAATAAACAAATTCAATCTTGCACATAAAAACACTCAAGAAATACTCTAAAGTATTTGTAATAAAATTTTCAGCTCAAACGGATGAAGTTATCTAGGGATGGTAATACACTCTAAAAATAATCCATCTTAAAATAAGACAGTACAAGTCCGTTCTCAGAACAGACTTATACCACCTTATTTTAAGATGGATCAATTTAGCGTCTTATTTCTATTAGCAGTTTATGTTCAAGGATAGTTCTGTTGTACAGGACCGGGTGAGTGTTGAGTAACGATTATCTCAATGATTTTAGTAATAAATCAAATAAATTGGCAAGTTCTTTCGAGGAAACCATTGTTCATTATGTACGAGTGACGAACGCAAAACAAAAGAGGTGAATGATTTCTAATATAGGAGTAAGACGGAAGAACGGGCTACAGAAAAAAACGTCTTAAAATAAGGCAGATGAGAATAAATAAGACTAATGCAATGGTAAGATGGATAGTATAGGACGGATTTCTTTTAGAGTGTGGTGTCTAATGAAGACCACTAATGTTTTTAGTAAATAGTGTTAGGCATACTGCCGTACTATAAAAATAAAGTGTGTAAATGACAAAAAAAAAGTAAACGTCTGATGTCATTGGACTGTGTAGAATTTCACTGATCAGTGTGTAACTTTCTTATCTAGACGTAGAATATAGTCTAATTGTTGATTTTCACACGATTTTTAAATTAGTTTTTTATTCTCTGCTTCTTTTCACTTAGAAACTTAATCACAAAATTTTTTGTTTAATACACTGAAGTTTTTCACTTTTTTTGTTGATGTCAAGTGAACGTTCAGTAGAGACCTGCAACCCGACCCGACCCTAGGGTCGGGTCGGGTTCGCGTTAAGATGCTGTCGGGTCGGATCGGGTTCGGGTTGAATATTTGGCGACGCAATTTAAAATATAAATAATATTTTTAGCTTTGTATTACTGGTTGAAAGTTATCTCTACTGGAATTTGCAGTTGAAAGACTTGTTTCAGAACAACTGCATTCACTAAGTCGATTAATGATTGCTTTCTTTGCACATAAGAGAGTGCTTCCTGCACTAAAATCAACGGCAATACATCCCTTACTGCTTTTTTTCAATCTACTGTTTTAAACACCCGTACATACAAGACTTTACTATAATGCTCTCTACTTGCTACCTTAGTATTAGGTGATACTGAGTGACGAATGAGAAAAAGGATGTGGTCATCATCTCGATTAAGATAATCTATTGACAAAGTGTACTGAGGAATTTTCAATAGATTAACCTATTAGACAAAATGACCAATCAGAAGTCGTTCAAAAATTTTTTTTTGAACTACGAGATTCTACAGTATGCACCGAAAAACTTTTGTCTAACAAGGCAAGTCTATATTCTTTCTCAAACACAGTTTTCTGGTGAGATTGTTTTCATCGGGGCGGGTCGGGTTCGGGTTCAGATGTTATCGGGTCAGGTGCGGGTCGGCATTTTAGCAGTCGGATCGGGTTCGGGTTCAGATGTTATCGGGTCGGGTCGGGTTCGGGTTAAGTTGTTGTCGGGCCGGGTGCGGGTCGGCAATTTGGTAGTCGGGTTGGGTTCGGGTTAGATTTTCTTAACCCGTGCAGATCTCTACATACCATATCTTAAAATGGTTGAATGATATCTTGAATATTCATTATTGGATGTGATGTAGGAAAAACCATTTCAAAAATATACCATGAGATTGGAGTTGAATAGTGGTATAAATAATCATTAAGTTCAGCTTTTGTATTGCAAATTCACTCTGGCAGCCATTGTCTGCGCATCATCTTGTTTATGGTTACTATTTATGTATTGATGTGTAGATATGAAGAAGCGTGCACATGAAAAATTCTAATTTAGAACTGTGCATATACAATGAAAAAATATCTTTTTATAACCGTTCTCTTTTCAGTCACGTTCTCTAAACAGTGTAAAAATTAAATAATTTGCACTCCGTTCTCTTTTCATACTTTTTCCGTCTTTTATGTGTCAATATTTTTTTTCGATGCACCCTTGAATAACAAAAGGACACCTCAACTTTAATTTCGAGAACAATAGCATTCGCTTAGTAAAGGTTGATATAAGCGTTATTTTTCTAGAATATGAGCTAAATTAATCCCATTGCAATGCTCTATAGCTTAGGCTATCGAAATTTTATGAAAAGTCACTCTAACAAAAGTAAAATATATTCTAGAAAAATTTTATTTATTTTGCTCTGTTTCTGCTTTCCTAATATACCGCTGTGTTTTCAAAATGATCACGTTATATTGTTTTGTTTTTTCTTCAGTTTATATTATTTTAATCAAATCTCATTCACTGTTTTATCTGTCACGCACATTAAAAACTGAAAATAATAGTTTTGTTAGTGATGGTGGAAAAACGAGGATGAAATATGAAAATAGAATGGAGAACGGAAAAATATTTTTGAAATTTTTACATGTGTTTTGGAGAATGGCATTACTAAGAAAATAGTTATTTTCAAAAAATGTTTTTTAAAAATATTTATTTTTCAAAATATCAGAAAGAGAACAAATTTGCTAATATCTAGTAAAATCTTCTTGAGAGAAAAGTATGATGTGAACACGCAACGACCAAAATGACAGATATCTCCTGGTCTTATAGATAGTTATTTTATATATAGTAATCTTTACACATAAGAAAGTCACACTACGTAAACTTTTCACTGAACTATGTCCTGTATAAACCAGATTTTTGAGACTCTATGCAAACCACCAACAGATCTCGATACTATTATTCAACGATATGAATTAACAAAATTTCGAATTGAATAAATATCAATTGGTGTTAAATATATTAATGTGCGTCATACAAGAATTTCTATTATGTGCTATGAAGTTTCAAGCTAAACATTTGAGCACATAGACGATAATAAAAAAACCATACTATTTTCATTATTTATTTTCATCAATAAAAATTATTCTCTTTCCGATGATAAAACTGTGGATATCAATTTTGATAGTTCATTATTTATTATTTTTTTATTTTTTGTGATATTTCATATGTGTGTTCATAATAACTGATATTTTATCATTAGCAGATGATCTTGAAGATCATACAATATATTCATTTAAATGTTTCATTGTGTGGTTATGAACTCAAGGCAACTGTACCAATTGATGTTATATTGATCATCCATCTAAACATTCTGTTGGATTAGCAATTTTATTTAACTTGTATTAAGTTAGTGATAAAACACGTATTCAACCAATAGGAAAAGGAAAAGAGCGTCCAAAGAAAGTTAGTAGAGCTTTAAATTTGTAAATAGATATAAATAACTAGAATGCAATTGTGCTTTGCACAAGTTGCGATGTCGACAGACTTTGTATGTGGTAAATAATGACAGAAAGCGCTGCAACAGTAAAAGAGTTCAAAATAACTCTTTTCAACACAACAAGCGGCAGTGTACAGGTACTAGAGTAAAATCTGTCTTAGATGTAGACCGAGAATAAAGAAACATTAAATCTTTGCATAATTCAGGTTAAGCTATTGTTTCTTCTTTCATCAGATACCTAAAAGAGATGTCTTATAAATTTATGGTAGTGAATTTTTTTTTGCTTTCTTTTTCCTAATATTTAATTTCTAACAATCTCAATTACCCATAACTTGGTGTCTTCGTATTCTTACCAACGAATCTTCTTTTTCTTCTTGTCTTTCCCTCACTAACGAAAATTCTTTTCTCAACAAAGAAATAAACAATTTATGTTGTTCTCAAAGTTCTCCTTAAAAATCGGCAACAAAATGTATGAAAAACTTCTAAGTCCAAAATACATTTTCCGTTAACTTCTTCCATCTCAGGGCACAGAATGTGGACCACTGCTCGAAAAATGAATAAGCATTGGTTAATCTCGAGGATATCAAGAACAATATCCCTTCTTTAGAACGTTTTTTCTAAATAACGTAGTTCTCTAGAACATGAGGCGCACATTTTACACAAAACAGCGACCAAAAAAAAAAACGTTTTTCGCATCAAAAACATATAAGGTCTGTCGACATAAAACATAAAAATGTTCACAGGTTGTTTATTTTTGTTTTGTACATTACATTTTGGTTGAGAAATAAAAATGTAAGATGCATTCTACTTGTAGGTTATGCTGTTATCTTTCAAAAAATATTTGCTGATCAAAAGTACATGTCCTCTGAAATCGTGCTCTTTTCGATTTTTTCCATTTCGTTCTCTTTTAATTACAAGTCTTGACGTAATTATCAAACCCGTTTTCCATTCTATTCAACTTCCGTTGTCTTTTCAATCCTTGTCCGAAAAAAGAAGATCGATATTGTGTAACAAGATCATTTTACTGCATATAGTAAACGTTTTTCATTTGTGTACTAATCACGAGAATTTAGCTATGTTTCACACCGTATTCTAAATACATAATAGTGAAAATATAAGACAGAGAAATGAGAGAAAGAACAATGATGCAAAAAATAAGTCTATATATTTTGTTTGTTTTTTGAAACTTCCGTAATAAGAGGAAAAAGAATAGAAAAAATGTGGCATTATCAGTGCATAAGATTACAGTTTTAATATGGTAGGTGAATTTACTGGACAAACTATCCAATTTAGAACAATGACTCCAAAGATTTTCGAAGAACCGCATACGCATATCCAATGATCAGATTAAACGTATTCTCAGTCGACTTAATGAGGTACAATTGCTAACTATAGATGATAATCTCTGTTAGAATCTCAAAGGTGAGTAAGTTTAAAGTATAAGTATCTTGACATTTCTTACATAACCTGTTGCCACAAATGAATGTTTGAATAACTCATACACATAAAAATTATTAAGCACATTGTATGGAAAAATTTAAATCACCAATATTTCTTTCTCATTTTTAAAAATTTATTTTGTTCTGTTTTTTACAGTTAATATGTTCGATAGTCTATCCTTTTGACATTGTATTTTAAAAAAATATATGCCAAAAATTTCATCTATTTCTAACATATGGTGTTTCAATTGTTGTGTAATCAAAATTACTTTTTTTTTTGTTCTCTCTCTTATACAACAAACAATTTATTATTTGCTCAATCTTTTGTTGATTTTATTTTGTGGTATCGCCATTCATTGGTAACTGTTGTCTTCAATTAGAGTTCCGATGCTTGTTCTTAATCGATGGACGCAGTTATTGAATAAATAAACATAATGATAACAAAAAACTTGCGAATGGTCAATAGAAAAATAAATTCACGTTTACCACCAATACAAACAATTAATGAAGTCACATCTACCACAGACAATGATAAAAATAGAATTATAAAAGCTTTAGCAAATGAACGAAACCCATTTTCGTCAGGTATTGGGAACATGTAACTTTTACGCATTTTGCACTATCACTACTACACGTTGTAAAAAATGTCATGAGTCATATATAACAGATATTCCCTTTTTTAGATATCGATACCCTTGGAACATCTCAGATTTTCTGCAGGTACAGAAGCTCACCATTAATCAGGTTAGAATATGATTTTTCATAGAAATAAACACTTTAGGTCTCCACCATCCGAAATGCTTTTACTCGACACATATCCTCCACGAAGTAAGTTTGGAAACGTTTAATTATTTTGGTTTATCAAATTTTTCACATATAGACTGGAATGTCCCATATTCAAATGGATCAAAACAGGGATTTAATAGGTAAAAGATTTTTCTTTCAGTCTTATTTTTTCTAAAACTAGTAAATTAACATAAACAAATTTTAGACAAATTGAACCCAATAGTCAGGGATTATATGCTCATATAGGTAAGTAACGATATATGAACAGTTAAAGTATAATGAATAGTCATGTTTTATTTATTAAAGATCTTCCATTTTTGTGCAATAATCCAGAAATTGATTTTTCTGAATTGGAAATTTTTCCATCACCACTCAGTGATCGACTGCCAGTAAGTGTCTTCAAGTTAAATCGTGCTTGTTGTACACAAGTATAGTTGAAACTTTTCGAAATGACAGAATTGTGCAGTAAAAAAAAAGTTTATTTCAAATAAGTAATTCTAAAACACACATTATTTTTGTCATTCTGTATGCTCTCTATGCTGCTAAGGTAAGATGTAATATAATTCTTCATATGTGTTGAAAGAAAAATTTTTTTTTCTATTTTACAATAAACAGAACATTTTTCTCTTTTTTTTTACTTTCAAGTCTTCACATCGTTTCTATCGTCCAAATGTAACAAGTGCTTGTAGTCGACGTTCGTCAATTTTATTTCAACGCATTGATCATTCGAATGAACCAAAACTTCAACGTGAAGACACATTTGATACTGTTTGTGAAAGTGTCTTAGAAAGTGTGCCACCATTATCACACAGACGGTCATCATCTTATACTGTATTACCTCCAATAACAGATGAATTTCCATCGTTAAGTTCTCATCCTTCTAGTCTATTATTACAATCATTTAATGATAATGAAGTAGAATCTAATCGTTTAAGAAAAAGCCCCCGTATTTTGAAATCATCAGATTCTGAATCAAAGCAAAATATCTCTAGTATTTCTCCACCATTAGTAACCATTAACTCATCACAGAATAAAAAAGACGAATTTGTTAGACGAATTTTATCTCGAAGTCTCAGTAGAGAGCCAAGTTTGTTAACGAGAGAGAATGATATGATTGAGCCAACGACAAATACAGAACCAGCCTATAAAGAAGACTCTGTCACACCCCAAATCCAAATAAAAAGCGCGAAATCAACAAAACCTGTTATTAATAAACCTTCATCGACGTCAAAAGGGATGGCACAAGTTAAAAGTACTCGTTCATCAGAATTAAAACTATTAACGGCATCTAAACCAGTTGTCACACCCGTGACACAGATAACAAAATCAAAAGCTCCCTTCAAAATTCCAAAACCTATCGATCGTTTAAAACCAGAAATACGTGATCGCGTATTGAATCCTGAAATATCAGCTCATCTTGAAACTGAAACTCGAAGTAGACGTAATTCATCATGTCCAGTATTAGCTAAAAGTGTTGATGTCGTGTTACCATCTCAAGAAAAATTAAATGATGGAATACTCGTCGTTGCTCAGTCTACACCAAATGAAAAAAATTTATCACCATTGACAAAAGTACGTAGAACAACTTCCCAACGTACACCAACTACCACTACCCGTAATGGAAAATTTATACTTGATGTTTTTCAACCGCAATCAAAAACGAAAACAACAATAGATCCATTAGTTGTTCAAAAATCTGTCTTCCAGAAATCAAAAAATGTCACTAATTGCACACCACAAGAAACTCAACAGAATAAGATAATACAAACAACAATAGAAAAGAATAGGTAAACTATGATTTTGTCGCTTATCATATTATTTCATAATACAGAAAAATGAAACTTCATTCTGTTATCCTTCAAAATTCTACTGGATAAGAAGGAGCTCTGAGGCTTAAAGATGATCTGAACTTTCCACCGTCTCAGACGTCGTTTTTTCTCTTTTCGTTTAGTTCCGAAAATGTCGAAAATACATCACAAGTAATAACAACAGAATCCACTACTTCTTCTGTACCACCAACACCACTTCTACCTTTGGTTAAATCGGATGCTGGAATGACCCTACCAGTTGAAGCTCCTCCTGAACAGAATACAGTTCATACTCATTCAATAATTGATATGATTCCTATTGACACTATAAACGTTGACGATCTTGATCGTTCTTCTGCGAAGGAAACGGAGTCAAAACCGGCTCCTAAAACCCACCAACAAGCTTTTCAATCAGGTCGAATTTATCCACGAAAAACTGGACCAGTTCCTAAACCTTTAACACTTCAAGGAGAAAAAAATGTTGATCCAGATTATCCGTGCAGCAGCCGGGTAACATCGACAGTGGCGAACGGTCAACGTCGAGGTAGTTTTACTTCAGTTATTCTCAATAGTCAACCACACATTACAGACTTATTTGAAAATTTTGAGACGAATAATGCTATCAATAACCTCGCAGATCCTTTAAAAGTTACAAAACAAATTGTGACAGTAAAAAAGCAGCGTCAGAAGAAGATTACGAAGAATACTACGAAAACTATTAAAAATGTTCAAAAAATCCCAGCAAAAACATCAAAAAAACCTGCTAAAAATCAATTAGAAAAACAAGTAGTTGCTGTTTATGCAGATATGGATCATGATGAATTAAAACAAAATAAGCAAGATCTCATTGTAGTTGGTGGAAATAATTGGGTCATTTCAATGAAACCAAAACAATTAGCTGATCAAAGTGAAAATGAGGACGACGAAATTGAAGAAGATGAAGTTGTAGCATCAGGTGAAGATGAAAATATTCCAAAGCCGTTCTCATTAAGTAGTAAGGAAATTCCAACTGTGGACGATGAAGATTTATCTTCGATCTATTCGTATGATAATCAAACACAAGCGAGTTCATCTACCGATCGTTTCGCAATATCACACACAACAATTCAAACAACCGATGAAACTTATAAATACGAAATACCCGATCAAACGAATATAAATTCAATGTCAATGCAGATGATGAATACAGCGGCTGTACGTACAAGTTTTAGTAAAACTTTTGAGTTGTACATTAAATTATAGTGTGCAGTATAGCAGAAGAATTTATTGGAACGATCGTTTCGTAGATGTCGACTCCATTCAAGAATAAAGTTTAGTTTTTTTTATTTCAGTCTCAAACACGCTCAAGTACTGAATGCGTTCAGTCTATTGGATGTGGTCCTGTTATAAAAGAAATTTTAGAGAAGATGCCGAACGAAATTCACAATTCCATTCGAAAAACATCGCCAACTGAACTTATAAACTCTCAGATTCGTGTTATTTACGAAAATGTACAAGATTCTGTGAGAAAAGAAACATCCTTACGGTCTCTACCTAAAATGATGCCATCAAATGTTGACATACCAAATGAACATAAGACTGACAACATACAATCTGAAATACTTCAGAATAACCATGTGAAAAACGCTACATTACTCTCTGAAGCGTCACTCAGCTACACACGAACAACAAATTCTGAACAAAGTCTATCGATTCGTCCAGGTATTCGTGTTGTAGGTGATTCGTTAAACAGCAGAGGTTCGTTCATAAACATGAATGTAAATTATTGTTGAAAATAACTCTCTCCTCATTTAGGAGGAAGTGAAACAATGAGTTCAACTAGTAGCCATGAAGATCATGATTACGGTGCACCTCTACTTCAAGATAGCGACACAGATGAAATATATAGATCAGCTAAAAAAGGAAAAACTGTCGGACACGGTGCTTACGGCACAGTATGGTATGTAACTTTTCTAGTTTCTACCTTGGACAATAAAACAGATTTTGAATTTCATGTGTTTTTTTACGTAGGTCATATTTAATGTTAACAGGACGTATGATTGCTGTCAAAGAAATTGAACTCGATGAAGGAGAGAGCGTACGAGTGAGAGAAGATTATGAAGCAGTTCGAGAAGAAGTGAATATTTTGCGTGCTCTCGATCATCCATATATTGTCAAGTAAGTCATTTATCTAATTTGTACTTTTAATAATAACTATTTATTCATGTAGATTCTTGGGTATATCACTTGAAAATACTCGTTTGGTGAAAATTTTTATGGTAAATAATATATTAAGGATCCCCGTCCTCGGTCAGAAATGTATTTTCGACACAAAACACGAAATGCTGACCAAATTTTCACTGAATATTAGTCTTGTACAGACTAGATTAGAAAAACATTTAACTTTAAAAACTTAAATTTTCCAGAGTTATCTCAAAAATAGTGGTCAAAAAGTAAGCGTTTGCAATTCCAAGATTTCTCCTTTGGTCTAGTTGGTCTTGAAATGTAGGGAAGCCATGGTTCTAGGGTCTAACAGAGCCCGATCTTTGTCTTTATTTTTGAAAAAAATAAAAAGTTTAGCGAGGCGAAAACGGGTCTCTGCAGGCCTAACTGCCCGTCTCATGTCGATGTTCGGAATGCAGCGTGGTCGTTTTCCTATCACCCACTAGGTTTCGTCTCAAAAGCGACTGGACAGTCGGTAGACCTCCCTCGTAAGACTCCACTACAGGATCGTTTTCTAGACTTTTTAGGAAACTGCTTCAAAAACCCTCAGAGACCTTTCGTATTGACAAAAGCAGCATGGATTGTAAGAGCAGATATTAAATCATGTGTTTAGCTCAATATCGACGTTTTATCGTAAAATCTATATTTCTAACGGGGGACGGGGAGAGGGCTTAAAAAGATATCATTTGGTTGAATACTCTGTTAAACTATATTTTAGGAATATCTTCCAAACGGAACAATCGAACACCTTTTACAGTTGTTCGGTCCATTTCACGCTGACGTTTTGAAAAAATATACTCGTCAGATCGTCGAAGGTGTTGCCTATTTACATGAAAATAATGTTGTACACAGGTCGAATATACTTTAGCTATTAATAATAGTTGATTCATTTTATCAATTATTTACAGGGACATCAAAGGCAAAAATATAATGCTTGATATCGATGGAAACATTAAACTTATCGATTTTGGATGTGCAAAACGGCTTAAAAAGAATCAAAACACACATTCAGTTCGTCAGATACTCAAATCAATGAAAGGTTTGTTCACTAAATCCCCTTTATTGTTTTTGAAAAGGACCTATGCTCTCTCCTGCCCTACGAACATTGAGACGTAGTCCTGTCCTGACCTTCATGTCAGGGCAGAGTAAGATCGGTCTGCACATCTCTAGACTGGTCTTGTATTAAGAGTGGTCCACTACCTTGGGAACGATTACTGTAATCATATGCTCCTTGGATATATAAACCGTAGTATTTTTTTAGGAACTGCAAACTGGATGGCACCAGAAGTGATATCAGAAACTGGTCATGGGAAAAAGGCGGATATTTGGAGTATTGGCTGTACTCTATGTGAAATGGCAACTGGCAAACCTCCATGGTCCGAATATCAGAACCAATTAGCTGTTTTATTGATTATTGGTAACGGAACTCGGCCTCCGTCAGAATTGCCTGATTCTTGCCCTGTAACAGCAAACAGTTTTTTCAAATCATGTCTAACGCGTGATCCTAGACTGAGACCATCAGCCAAAGAATTGTTAACTCATCCGTTTATAGTTTGAAAGTGATCTTTCTTATATTATATTAGATCTTAAGTCTTTCACGAAGTTTATCACTTTTTGTAGAGGAAAAGAACACAGCAAATCTGTGATAAAGAATGAGAACGCATGTCATCTTCTATTTTTTTTTAAAAATTTAATCCATTGCATTTGATACATTCGTATGTTTTTATACTTTTTGTTATAAATAAACAAAGTCATTTTGTTACTTGTTTTTATTCTGATGTACAAAAAATATATTTTAAATATAACAGATCTTAAAAAATAACAATCACATAAATCATCCATATCCTGAAATGTGCAAAAGAAAAACTTTTGGTTTATATATGGACTTAACAAGCACAGAAAGACACGTAGTGTCGATAGGTGAAATAAGCAAAACGATTATCTATCACTGTTCAGACGCTTCACTAGACTTTCTAAGACATGTCTATCTCCTCTTCTGAGATATGTGTAACTTTAAAAATGAATAGAGGCATCGATTTTTGACCGTCATCCTAGATACTTTGATTTTAGACACAGAAATAGAAAACTCATATCACACTCAAAATCCAACTTAATCATTCGTAACAGTTAGAACATCATCAGATCAGACTATAATTAATTCTCGGACTTGTGTAGATTTGTAGAGCAGGAAGTGGTGATTCGATCCACCTATTGCCGTTAAATATGAAATATAGAAAATAGTGACTGTAGTATGACTGTACTCATCGCTCACGAAGAAAATCTCCACTTTGTAACTTGTATCATCAAACATGACGATTAAATATTCTCAACAATTTAAATATTAGTACAGTATTTAAGTAAAAACACATTTAGAAAGGGTAAACTCATTAGCTCAGAACTAAGTATATCTAATACAATTGAAAAACATTTTCAGTTATATTAAATATGCTTAGTTTTATGAAAACCATTAAAAAGACAAAGAATGTCAATGTATTAGCTCGGAATGGAGCATGAAAACAATCCATATTTTTGAACGTGATACACAATATAACCATGGGATTATACAGAGAGACACGTAGTGTTTCACAGGCGAAGAGAATCAACTGGTTGAGTTAGTATCGGCACACGATTAACTATTAGCTAAATGATGCACAGGGATGTGATAAGCGCCAATTTCGGTAGAAAAAAAAGAGAGGCTAGCTGTGAAGAATGCATTCATATGAAACACCTTTGCATTTATTATAGGGATTCTATACAAAGTGATTTATCGTCCCACTGTCCATTTTGTTATCAATCGTCAAATGAATGCCAGTTAGCCAGGTATGAACAAATTTAACATAGTGAGGAACAGCGAATAATGATGCACATATTTTTAGTGATGGTTATGAATTAGACGTTCTACTAATGAGTTATGAACGAAATACATATTGATCTGGGTAGATTGAATATTGATGAAACAAGAGAGATGAATAGTGTCATCACGCTGGAAGCTAGCATTATCATTTTAGCTGGGGTTATTTACGTTAAGGAAATTCATTTCTGACTAAATTTGAATAAGAACTATTTTCTTTTGTCATGTCATTTTCTTCTCTGTTCGTATTTTCAGATCTGAAGAAATTGATCAGACACTCTTTTATGTTGTCTACAAAATCCTTTTTATGAAAAATATAAACATTTTGTACTTGAAACGATTATAATTTTTAAAACGAAATCAAAACTGTGTCAATATTTTACCATTGTATCTCGCTTTAACACGAATACACAATCGAAGACAACAAGATATCGTCTGGACCAACTTTGTACACATTTCTAATGTAACCTCATCATGCTTTCATAATGATTTGTTCAAAATCTTGAGCATTTGATGGATAATCACTTATGTCAGTTTTTGCCAATGATATACCATATATTTTTCTATCATTTTCTAACGCGATATTTCGCTTTTTTAAATCACTTCATGGCAAATTTACTCGTGTGGTACAACACATTATCCCCGTTAAACTACCATTTCCGACGCGGCTTAAAACCTTTTCTGCCGTGTGGTTTACCTTCCTTCGAGGCAGACGACGAACGATCGAACGAGTTTTACAAAACAAGTTGTAAGCCAATCATTAGTTCAACCTTTACTAACATCTCTCATTTACAGCAGAAATCAGCATATAGATTCTGTCATTTACAGCAGAAAGAAATCAGCATATAGATTTTCTAAATCTCTCAATGCGTGTAAATGCTGACAGTTTTTTTTATGGAACAAGTCACCCAAATGTGAGTAGATGTGTTTGATAAGTAATAGCGCAGGAATCTTATTTGTAGCTAAGTGTTTGTAAGAGAAAAAATAATTATTACGCCTGAAATTAGTGAAACAATTCAACAAAAAAATACTGTTTCAGGCAAAAAAAATGGTAAAGAATTTTCTTCATCATCTTTCCTACTACAATTTAACGTGACCACTATTTCTTTAAATATTCATGTTAGGCACATCTCTAAACGAGAGGCATCTGAGATCCCTGTCAAATACCGATACATGAGCGAAATGTCTCGTTTTCTAAAGATGTTTCAAGAGTTCATTTATAACGTCATCGTTTTCTCACCCATTTTCTTGTTTTCGCTCTATTCAGTTGCCTCATTTCTTATATTAACAAGAAACTGAGGTCACCTGACCTCTTCGTTAATGCACGACTGTTTTACGAAAATAATTCATTTCAATTCAAAAAATTTAGAACGGAATAATCTAAATAACAATTAGAATAAACACCGCTCCTGAATATCTATCTAATGTAATACGAATTTAATAATTATGAATTTATGATGGAAGAAAATGTTCGTTAACACTTTTCCATACATACACTCATAAACGTCTGTTCTTTACATTTTAGTAATTTACAATTGTTTGAATAACGAATAAACATATATATCGATCATAAAACTAATAATCCATCTGTGATACATAGTTTATATCACTAATCGAGCATCAAACGATCAATTAGTTATACTTTTGCAAAAAGATTTTTGTTTTTGTTTTCTTAATAACAAATAAGCTTACCACTTATTAAAGAAAAGCAGTAACCATAATGAAATTCCATGGAAGAAGTCAGACTTATTTCTAACAAAGAACTCTCTTCTTTTAATGTGCGAATAAAAAGTAAATTTTCTAATATTATGTTTTTGTTCTTTAGATGTACGTCATATTCTGAAACGTGATATTTCATGTGTTGTGTATACTACCGCTCTTTCGTCAAAAGTAAACAATATTATACATCCTCCACACACTTGTCTCTATCTCTCTCTCTCTCTGTCTTGCGTGCGCGATCTGTTTAAACAGTCGTCTCTTTTTTGAAAGACAAACGTGGTCATGTTAAAATAAAATTCTGTCTATCGTCATTTATAGTAACATATCAAAATGTTTGAATTATCGATGTCTATCGTCATCTAATACTTGAAGACGAATTTTCTTTTTCTTTTTCTTCATACTCAACTTGAACTCCCTCAAAATATTTGAGATTCGAAAATTGAACTTGATAGATCTTTCACATCAATATCAATTAAGAAAAATAACAGTAGAAATTGAAACAAGAAAAACTATTAGATATTTTTGCGCATATTGTTTGTTAAATGTGGTGTAAATAGAATAGAAAAATATTTATTATTTGACAACGAAGTATAGGAGAGAAGAAATATACAATATTCGAAAGTAAGTGATGTGCGTGTTCTTATGCTCTTTGAGATTTGAACTGGATTTCCTGAGAATCTAAAGATTTCAAGCGTTCTCGATACAAATGAATATAGCGAGATTGTAACTTCCATTCGCCATATAAGTGACAATTTGTAAAAGCTTAAAGCATTTTCTTATTGGTATCATTTATCATGAACGAACATCTATTACTTTCCTTTCTATACTGTACACAGGTAACCCAAGCAAAAGAAAAAGTCGATAAGCTAGCTCAACCTAGGTAAAGCGATACATTTCGCTAGCTTCAGCTAGATAGTAGCTAGCTTGAGCCAGCTAGATATATCGTTTTACGTAGGTTGAGCTAGCTTATCGATTTTTTCTTTTGCTTGGCTAGATATGTTATGCGG